AAAAGAAGTGCATATTCTGAAAACACTACGCATGGACTTCAAACATTTTTTGCACCAAAATAAACTTGTACTTTGATTCCATTTTCTATAAACCCATAGTTGATGACATTTTGTCAAGGAGTAGAGGTGTGTAGCTCCAGAAGGCAGATGTGCAAGTCCCTTATTCTCTCTCTGCCCTGATTTCTTATTCTGAAAAATGAGGGTAGTAATAGTTACCTGGACTCCTATAAAAGTCAAATACAATTGCGACCAGCAGGTGGCATGGTGGGTAAAGGTGGTGGGGTCCCACATGGCCGACTGTGTTTCGAGTCCTGGACCTGGTGGCTTGCTTTCTCACTTTCTCTCTCTCTCTCTCTCTGTCCCTCTCTGGTCAAATGAAAATAAATAAGTGAATAAAGTTTTAAAAAATCAGATGCAATCAGACAAAGAAAACATTTTGTTGACCACAAGTGTAAGTAATTATTTACCTTTTTAAAATAACTATTTATTTAATTTTACTTGTTATTATTATTGTTATTAAAATTTGACCAGAGAGAGAGGGAAAGTGAGAAAGCACATGGGCCCAGTGTGATTTTCAAGTTGCCACGTCCGGAACTTGAACCACTGTCAGCCGTGTGGGACTGCAGTGCCTTAACCTCTATGCCACCTGCCAGCCCTGAGATCATTTAATTTTTAAAAATTATTTAATTTTGTTTGTTGATTCATTTATTTTAATTTGACCAGAGAGAAACACAGAGAGGGAGAGAGGGAAAGTGAGAAAGCAAGCCACCATGTCCAGGACTTAAACCGTGGTCAACCATGTGGGAGTGTCCAGCACCTTAATCACCATGCCACCTGCTGGTTCCCTAGATCATTTAATTTTTAATACATGGGATATATATAAGTTATGAGAATGTAATAAATCTTTGACTAAATAGAGGTATCACCAAACCACTATTTATGGAAATATTCAATTAGTGATATTTCTCAGTGCCTACCACTTATTAGAATTATCTGGGAGCATCTTAAAAAAATACGAAGTCCCTCTCAGACTAGTTGGAGTAGACTGTTGGAGTAGAGAGGGCACAGCTATCTTTCAAACGTCTCAGGTGGTTATGAAGTGTGGGAAGTCTCCCTGGAATGCATCAGTGCTGTCCACAGACGTGCACTTACAATTCCAAGGCCCGCAGATGCCCTGAGTATGCTCTTAGAAGAGTAGTATGTGTATAATTATTCTCTATGCACTTAAAGCTCAAATCATTGCTATGGAGATGCAGAGACTGGGAATACTTTTTATTATTTTATTATTATTATTATTATTATTATTATTCTGGTAACTCGAGGTTGTGGGAACATCATGTACTTCCTTTTTCACATTAAAATTTCCCCATAGGGGGACCAGCAATTAGTGTAATGGCTATGTCACTGAACTCCCATGTAGCCAACTGCCGTTCTAGTCCTGGACCTGGTGGCTTTAACTCACGCTGGGCACGTGTGTGTGCATGGCCAAGATCCCAAGAGGAGAATGGAGGAGAACGGATTGCGGCGTGGCCATCCCTCCCTGGGGGGTGATTTCTCACTTTCTCTCTCTCTGTCTCTCTCTGTCTTCCTGCCGAGCGCATGCACATGCGCCCGATAGCAAAAAACAAAAACAAAAACAAAAACAAAACAAAACAAAACCCAAAAAACAAAAAACAACCAAAAAAAAACCCTCTCAAAACAAACAAACAAACAAACAAACAAACAAAAATCTTCCCCATAGGTTTCTGAGTGGAATTGCAATTCTGGTATAGCCCATAGATAACACATAAAAGCAGCATTAACTTTTGGGTCTCTAGCTAGAGTTAAATTCATCCTGGGACATAAAGCCTCTTTTTCCAAGCAAATATGGAAAGTGCTTCAGAGAAATGTTACTGAATTTTCTTGTAACAAAATAGGGTTGTAGCAGCTGTGACTAAAACTTACTGAGGAAATGGGCAAAAGAAGTCCATTCCCAGTTGTGAGAAAACAAACTTCTCTAGTCATTAAATCAGTGACCTGGGCCTGCTGCTTCATCGACCTGGTCTCTATCTTCAAGGAGATCTCTGGAACTAGCAGGTGGCATAATGGTTGCATTGCTGAACTCCTGCATTGTCGACTGGGATTCACATCCTGCACTGGAGGCTTGAAACTCATGCTGATGCATGCGCGCCCAAGATTCCTAGAGGAGAATGGAAGAGAGGGGATTGTGGCATGGCCATCCTTTCTGGGGTGGTGTGTGTGGGGGTGTGATTTCCCACTTTCTGTCTCTCTTTCTCTCTGGCGAGTGTACGTGCGCTATAGTGAAGATCTCCAATTTGCCCATCTGCAAATCTTTGGGATGTGAAAGGGACTGTCATTTTCCGATGAGGCATCAGGCCAGCTGCGCCAGCCCACCTATTAGAAATGCATGTTCCTAGGCCCTGGGTGTGGGTTGCTGGGTCAGCAACTCTGAGCTAGGCCAGGCAGTCTGCGCTTTAACATGCCCTCTGTGAGACTGTGATGCCGGCTCCAGCTTGAAAACCACTGAGCTGGGACAGAGGTACTTTCCTTGTTTCTCTCTATAATACTGGGTCGTTGGAAAAGTTATGATGCATTTTTGCAGAGAAAAACAGAAAACCATGTAATGACTTTTCTGATGACCCGATAAGTATGTTTGTATAGACAGTCATGAAGCAGGCATTTTTAGGTGACTCAGACCAGACCTAGAAGGAAAATGAGTGGTAGCGTTATTTATTTATTTTATTCTTTTAAAAAACTTTTGCTAGAGGGCACGTGTACTTGTCAGAGAGAGAGAGGGAGAGAGAAAGTGAGAAAGCACCCCCATGGGGGATGGCTATGCTGCAATCTCTTCTCCTTGAGAGTTTAAGCACACACACACACACACACACACACATGACCAGTGTGTCATTCAAGCTGCTAGATCCAGGACTTGAATCGTGCAGCCGGTCATGCGGGACCCAGGTATTCACCATATGCCACTGACTGGCCTGCAGGGTAGCTTTAACTCTGGATTACTGTCACCAAGACTCCTATTCCTTACTTGAGGAGTCAGTCATCAGATAAAGGTGTAAGTTTGTAAAGATACACACAATGGGTAGAGATACACTGTGTATACACACACCGTATTATAAACTGTGCATCCCTGTATCTTTATACAGCTGCACCTCGGTATACACTATGTAAAGATATACTTTATATAAATGTGTGAAGTTACACACAATATAAAAATACATTTTGTGGGGCTGACCCGTTTACCTAGTAGTTAAGGGAGCTGAATTCCACCTCACTGATTAAGGTTCGAATCCTGGCCCAGTGCCTTGAAAATCACTCTAATGATGTGCATGTGTGTGCCCCAGATCATGGCAGAGGAGAGAAATGGAGGAGAAGGGATTGCAATGTGACCATGCTCCATGAAGGGGTCATTTTTCCCTCTCTTCTTTGTCTCTCTGGTGAGTGCATACATGCTCTCTTCCAATTAAAAACAAACGACATATACTCCGTATATCTAAATCTCTGTTGTGAATACAGGGGAGTCAAAACCAAGACATTCCAGAAACTGGGGCACAAATGAGAACCCAAAGGTCTTGAGAAGAGACTTAGGAGACTGGAGGTAGCAGGAGTTTGGGAGAAGAAGGCCTGATAAGGGCCATTGCATTGTTCAACTCGAAAGGGGGGTGGGGGCACTGTTTGCCTGTAATACCCTGCCAATGGTGCGTCCAGAGCTATGCAGTGCAGTGTCCTGGCTTCCAGGCAAAGGATGAGCCTCTAAGATTTCTTTGTAAAAGTCAGCTGCATGGTGACTTTAGGCCTGTAGAGTAGGTATCTGAAGACAGCTGTGCTTTCCCCTCCAAGGGCCTGCAGAATAATACAGATTCTCTTCTCTCTTGGAGGTCTGGAAGTCAGAGAGAAAAATAATTGTTAGCTTATGTCCAAAACTCTTGCAGCTGGCATTAAGTTGTGTTTCGAATCTGTCTGTCTAGTCTACCTATTCAAAGCCTTTCTCTTTGGATACTCAAGGAACTAAAAGCTATAAAGACTATCCGTTAAATATCATAGGAAGAATGGTTATCCAGGAACAAAGAAATTAGGAATCTCACCAGAGTATTTCCTATCTAGATATCTGAATTTGAGCAGCCCCCTGCTAACTGCCTGCAGGGGGTTATCTCACTTCTTTGATAGAGGTGTTGTGATATTCTCAGATTATGCAGGGACCTACACCCACAGTGAAAGCCTGAGCTTTCATGCCCTCCACTTTACGAGGTCCCAAGATGAGACAGGTAATGTTAACTAACGTCTGGATGCAGGTGGCTATGTGAGTTGAATGCTACTGAATCCTTTCTTCTCAGGGCTCAAATTGAGATATTCAATTACCTACACTCTTTATATAATTATGTTCTTTCTTTTTCTGGCTTATGCTTCTAACCCACTGGTTGTGGCCATATTTTAAGTTAATTATCGGTACTCTAAAAGCTCTTAGACTTTGCATATAGTACTTTAAGTGCACTGTGACTTTAAAATAAAAAATTAACCACTGGGAGCTAAGCATCATTCTCCTTTCTGTGGGCTGAGCTTCCGTGTTGTAATAGGAATTCGCTAATGAAATAGACATAAAGAGAGCCTCCCTGAAGATTTAAGAGGGTCATATATTCTGACTAATTGTTATTTTCCTAGTTAACTTCATCTTCATTTGTGTACCTGCCACAAAATTTTAATTATATTCAATTATTCTGTGTTTTCTAATTTACATTGTCTTTTATTTCCTCTCATTGTCCAAAGTGTTTTCCTTGACAGTGCGCGTGGCCCACTTTTTAAGCCTATCAGCAGCCGATTCTTTGGGGTGAAACTCCTCTTGAGAGCTACCTAGGACAGCCAGCAATCTGCCTGTGCACTTCTGGCATCTTCTGAAGGGAAAGGGGGTTCATTGATTGCATATCTAACAGTCCTATGTTTTTGCTGCTTTACAGAAAAAAAGATCACATGGTTTTTCTTTTTTATTCCAGGAATTGCAACATATCGTTGGATCACAACATGCGAGAGCAGAGAAAGGTAAAGCGTGGGTCTGTGTGAACAGCTGCAATGCCACACGACCACTGCTGTTTGAGCTAATACGCTTTCTTTCATCTGCAGCTATGGTGGAAGGTTCATGGTTGGATCTGGCCAAGAGGGGCAAGCCTGAAACGCAGCCTTTCGCTCATCTCACTATAAATGCCACCAATATCCCATCAGGTAAGTTCCACTTGCATCCAGCCTGAAAAAATATTTCAGCATTTGTCAGGCCATTGAAGCATGCAGCGCTATTATTAGCCTATTATGAAATTTTGGAGAGCCCTTATTTCTAAACCAAAAGAGAGATCATTAATGTTTAATTGATGATCCTCACCCTGGAAACGGTAATCGCCAAAAATGCCAGCATGGACATCATCTCAACCTTCAGTTTTAGATCGTTCGAATGCGTGTTCTAAATGGCGGCCAGTAGAGGGCGCATAACTGAGGACGCCGATTGCTGGTTATGCTCATTTCTGTTTACCCTTGCTGAAGTGGACACATCCCCAACTCTTGACCTCTGAGCTGAAGGAACTCACTGGGTAGTCGTAGTCTCCGTTATCTCCTGCAGAGTTTCCAGTTGGAGCTCAACAGAGTGCTTCTTAGGAGTTGGTAGTCCTTTAGAAGATTAGACACTCTCCCCTTTCTCCAAGGGCTTATTATTTCCTTTGGGTAAAGGTTTAGCTCAGTGACTGGAGACTTGATTACTTTTTGGAAATGAGCTAACCTAGAGCTCTGGGCTACACTGCTTCAGTGCACCAGCCATTCATCCTGTAATCCCCACTGGTTACTTCACCCTGGACTAGCTAAGGGTCAGAAAGTTTACAAACAACATCGTAATAGAACAACAACTGATCATTATTGTTATTATCATGTCACTTATTGAACACCTACTACATACCAGGCATTTTAATCTAGATTGACCTCTAGTCCTTAGAATAACCCTGCAAGGTAATCATTATCATCCAGATTTTGCAGTCAGGGAAACGAAATGATGGCAGGTTGTCATCTGCTCAAGGTCACAGTGGACACAGGATTAGAAGGTGAATTCTGTGTCAGTTGACTCCCAAGCTTATTCTTTTGATGCTAAATATTATCATATAAGCAGGCCACAAGGTACATGTTGTCAGTTGGCATCGACAGAGAGAACTTCGAAGCTCTTCTGTTGCCCTTTATCTAGGAAGTAGATTAGTGTAGTGTCTAATAACATGGGCTCTGAAATCCATCTGACTGCCTGTGTTCAGTCTCCACTGTATCACTTACTGGCTCTGAGACCTCATGCAATCATTGGGATTATTTGCGCTCAGTCTCACTGTGTCTTAGATGGGAAGGTTATAGTCTCTGCCTCATGGGGAACTATGAAGATAAAATGAGGTAATGCATGAACATTCTCATATGGAAGGTGGCATATAGTAAGCACTCAGTAAGTGCGAATTGTTCTTTTTTTAGTTCAATTAAATAATTGTACATATCCCACTTTGTTAAACACATGATTTTTTTTAAGAGAGAATTTTGATATGTGGTATGCACACTTGTCAGCAAGACAGAGAGAAACAGAGACAGAATGTGAGAAATCACCCACAGGGGGATGGTCATGCTGCAATCCCTTCTCCTTCATTCTCCTCATGGGATCTTGGACACTCACGCTTACGCACCCAGTGTGAGTTTTAAGCCATTGGGTTCAGGACTTGAACCACAGTCGACTACATGGGAATCCAGTGACATAACCATTGCACCATCTGCTGGTCCCATGCAGCACATGATTTAAGGAAAGATTTTTCTTGTAATTACAAAAAAATAAAAAAAGTCCATGGGCTAGTTCTGTTGCACAGCTGTTAAGCACCACGCATAGACTGCTGGGTCCCACATGGCTGACTGTGGTTCAAGTCCCAGTTCTAGTGGCTTGAAAAGCATGTGGGGCACATGTGCACATGTACCTAAAATCTTGACAGGATAGAGAAATGAAGGTAGAAGGATTGCAGCACGACCGTGGCCCATTGGAGGATTCATATTCTTTCTCTCTATCTCATACATGCCCTCTGGAAATTAAATAAAACTTCTAAAAATCCAAGCTTTTTTTTTTGGAGAGGTTTTTTTTTGCTATAGGGCATGTGCGCTCGCCAGACAGACAGAGAGAGACAGAGAGACAGAAAGCGAGAAATCACCCCCCAGGGTGGATGGTTACGCTGCAATCCCTTCTCCTCCATTCTCCTCTCAGGATCTTGGGCACGCATGCATGCGCGCCCAGTGTGAGTTTTAAGCCACCAGGTCCGGGACGTGAACCGTGGTCGACTACGTGGGAGTCCAGCGACATAGCCATTACGCTAACTGCTGGTTCCCAAGAATCCAAGTTTTAATAAACAGTTTTGAAGCCAGTGTCATAGCATTGGCCACAAAGGGATTTTTCTCAATTTAAAGACATAGTAAGTGAGGAATCGACTCTGATTTTAGATGACTTTTCACTTGTCCTGTTCCAGATACTTGCTTTATAAACAATTCCTTTTCTTTTTGCATATATGGGTGCCTTATGTTGGAGGTAAACCGACTTTTTCCAAGTAGGAAACTATTTCGCATGTTGGTAAGGTAGTCCAATTAATATTGATGCGTCTGTATTAATTTCTCTGAGTGGAAAACTGTTTTGCATGTTAGCAAAGGGAATCCAATTAATACCGATGCAGCTGTGTGTGCTGTGAATGCACCCTACATTTATCTTTTCAGTTCACTTTAAATGGCATATGATAAATATTGCATTAGACTGTGTGCCAAAGTCTGTTTGGCAATCGCAAGCATGTTTTCGCTATAAAGCCCTCTCTGTAGGCACCTAGCTTCAAATCATTGCCAGAAAAACAAGGCAACACTTCTGGTTATTTTCTATCAGTTATTGAGTTTGTGACGGAGTGAAATGAGTTAGTGTATGCTTCTGTTTAAGAAAATAGAATTTGCTACTCCGGCTAGACCAACGACCCCTTGAGTCTGTCTCCTAGTTTTGGCCAGCACTGAAAACTTCAAAGGAAGTTGGCTTTAATTTTCCATGTTCATTTTGGGATCTGTTTTATACTTAGTTACACATAAGGAATGGGGTTCTGCCTTCTATAGACTATTGATTACCTTGTGCATTTGCAAAGTTTCTGGAGTAAGATGCATTGAAGTCTTTTTGTGAGATCAGCCTAAGACCTTCTTTAGGGGCCCGCTCTCTAAATATTTGCAAAAGCCTCTTCATCTTCTAACAGCACGGACCATACTACAGGGCTGGGAGGCTGAGGAGGTCGGTGTGAGAGATCGTCAGCTGTCTCATTAGTGATGGAAACTAATGAGAGGTCCTGTAACTTGATCACAGTGTATTTTTCTCATCTTGTCTCCTACTATTGTCTCCTTACGAGTCCTTTATTCACACTGTCTGGCTTTTTCTCTTATGCATGTTGTGTGTATCCCATTCTTTGTTCAATTTCCCTCACCAACAATACTTTTCCTTTTCTCAGCTTGTCCAAATTTGACCCAAGTCCTCTCTGTCCTCTAGCTCCTTTGTCCCCTGACTAGGCTGAGCTCTCCTAATCACCAAAATTTCTGCAGCTGTCACTTGGCAGTTGCTTATAATTGAATATCGGTCATCTGCTGTGCAATATGCAGAAATGAAATGCTATAATTTTTATGTCCATTTCTTATTTTCTTCATTACTAGTGGTATGTGCTATGAGGGTATACTGCATGATGCAATTCTTAGGTTGGGGGAGAGTGAATGTCATAGCATTATGCTGCACTGCATTGCTAATTAAAAGAATGCATCAGTTAACTCATGAGTAAGAATGAGCAAAAATAGAGAGATATTTAGTAGTATGCCTTACTTCATAGTGGAAGTGGTATTCAGTCAAGGTTTCTGTCTTTTCCTTTCTTTATTTCATATTCCTTTCTTGCCTTTCTAGGCCATATCTTGTTCTAATACTAGCTAGACCATTCATTAAGAGAGTGGGCTTGAGGGACCAGCAGATGGCATAATGGTTGTGTTGTTAGACTCCCACGTAGTTGACCGCAGTTTGAGTCCTGGACTTGGTGGCTTATAACTCATGCTAGGCGCATGTGTGTATGTGCCCAAAATTCTGAGAGGAAAATGGAAGGGATTTCAGCATGGCCATCCCCTTGGGGGATGATTTCTTGCTTTCTGTCTCCTTGTGTCTCTCTGTCTCTGCAGCGAGTACACACACTGTATAGCAAAAATCTCTTCCTTAAAAAAAAGAAGGTGGGATTGGGGTCAGCAGGTGGCATAGTGGTTAAGGTGCTAGAGTCCACATGTCCAACTGCAGTTTGAGTCCTGGACCCAGAAGCTTCAAAATCAACTACACAAAATAAATAAATTGATGGAATACAGGAGTAAGATTAGCAAAATGACAACATAGGATTACTTGAGATGAAAGATATATTGAATTTTGTTAGCTTTGGATTAAGTTCACACCAGCCTGGAGGAGTCACTTTACTAGTGTTCATAAGGATCTGACAATGAGTAGTCTCATATCGACTCACCTGGGACCATAGGATGGTGTTCACATTTGTGATGCTTCAATATGGGATGACCTGAAATCTAATCTCCAATGAAAAAGAAGGAAGTTTGCCTTGGTGAGCCCTGGAGGCTTACATGGTGAGTTTCTGGGATGGCCCTGCTGTGGACAAGTTGTGGAGTTCAGGAAATAACCTGTCCCTGGACAGAGGCATTGAAGCCATAGGATTTCTGTTCTTCTCATGATTGGTTTCTGCACTGTAGCTTAATTCCTGCTATGGTTTTTCTTCTTCTGCATGCCTTTCCTCCTGGTTTGTTCTTGGAGTAACTTGGTTTTGAGGGCCTCAGATTATGTTCCAGGCTACCCAGTGGTCCTCTCCAGACGTAGGAGAACATTCTTCAGTTTCTTATTCTACAAGAACCTTCTAGTGTTAGCTCTGATGGATCCTTGAACTCCACTTCAAATATGACTTGGCTGTTGTCTCTCCCTTAACATCCCAGGGCCTGACCTAGTTTGTGGGTGGGAGTGACAGGCAGTAAAGGACCTCTCGTGGCTGCAGAAACTATTCCCAACCCCAGTCTGAGATGCATCTCTGTTTTGCCCCATGGATTCCAAACAGATCACAATCTTAGTTTAACATAAGTGTTTACAAAATCCCCTGGAGGAAAAAATGCAGTTTTGGACTTTTCATAGTATTACAACCTTTTACCCTTTATTAAGACCTTTTCCAGTTGAATAAAAGATGTCCACATACGTACAAATGTTGGATTAATTAGGTTTCTTATAGGAATATTGTCCATTTTTTTTTAGAGAGAATTTTTTGCTATAGGGTTTGTGAGCTCGCCAGAGAGACAGAGACAGAGAGACAGAAAGCGAGAAATCACCCCTTAGGGGGATGGCCATGCCTCAATCCCTTCTCCTCTATTCTCCTCTCAGGATTTTGGCCACACATGCACATGTACATGGCGTTAGTTTTAAGTCGCCAGGTCTAGGACTCAAACTGCCGTCAACTACATGGGAGTACAGCTATGCAACCATTATGCCATCTGCAGGTCCCAGTATTTCCATCTTTAAAGACCCAATAAAATACACAAATGACTTGAAATATGAAATGCATTGGACACACTGATGATTTAGAAGTTTTTTTTTAATTTATTTTTTATGTTTATTAATTTCTTCTATGACCGAGTGAGATAGAGAGATAGGCACTATTATTAGGTCCACACATCACAGTCCACCACTAATCCCAGCTGACCTAAATCGAGAGTACATGAGTGAACACCTGGCATACTCAGGGAGGTTCTGAGGTGTGAACCCAGCATCTTCCTCTTGTGGGTCTGGTGACATCACCACTGCACCACCACCAGGCCCCTGATTCAGAAGATTCTTTAGAAACTCTTACTGCTCCAGGGACAGTAGCACCAATGACCACCTTCTAGCAGATGGTAGAAGGGCTTAAAGGGGAATTCTGGTCAATCAAGAGTGATTTTACTATACTTTTGTCGTAAAGGATTGTGTGAAGTTGTTAAGGTGGGGAGTACAGTGCCAAGAATATTTTCTTTTAGAGCTTCTCTTGAGGTTTTTAGTTATTTGAGCCTGGGAGCAAGTTTGGATTGTTGAATATGGGGAAAATGGATGATAATGAGAACAGAGTTGGAGTTGGACCTTTTGGCCAAAGTTCCTGTGGCTCCTTTTACATACTCCTCTCCACGAATGAAAAGAGTCGCGTGTTTTCTTCCTACTAGGTTCTTGCATTCTTGCCTCAGCTGTTTCAGCCAACTCAACTCCCTTCCCTTGATCTGGAATAACTTTTCTGGCTTGTGTGACCTGTGCCTCTTTTTAACTTATCGGCTCTCTAGGAACCCCAGAAAGTCATTCTTGATCCCTCTGAATGGAAATTCTCTCTCTTTGAATTCCCATAGCTATTATCTGTACCTTTTTAAATATTACTTGTTGGGAACAGCAGTTAGCGTAATGGCTATGTCACTGGACTCTCACATAGTTGACCACAGTTCGTGTCCTGGACCCGGTGGCTTAAAACTCACCCTGGGTGCGTGTGCGTGTGTGCCCAAGTGAGAAAAATGGAGGAGAAGGGATTGCGGTGTGGCCATCCCCCCTGGGGGTTGATTTCTCGCTTTCTGTCTCTCTGTCTCTCTCTGTCTGGCGAGTGCACACGCCCTATAGCAAAAACCTCTCCAAAAAAGAAAGTATTATTTGTGTATTTGTTTTCTGATGGAGAGGAAGAGAGAGGTGCCCTCGAGAAAGTGAAAGAGAGACAGACACCCATGACAAAGTCCTTATGTTGCGATCCTCCCCCAGCCAATGCAGATGGCTAGGATTACAGGCACACGTGGTGTGCTCAGATAGGCCCAGGATGTGAACCTGGAGCCTTCTCATGTGGCCTCCAGCATCATGCAGCTACCATATGTGTCACTGTAGCCTGGCCTATCTGCTCCTTTTGCACCAAGTTGTGCCCTGCTTCTCATGTGAACACATATACTTAGCCCTAGAGTACTTTAGGCTTCTAACGGTAGGAAACACGAGTTGTCATTGAGTTCTCTAATGTGCCCCACGGGGAGAATTAAATGCCTATGAATGTATTTCCCAAGTTGGAGAAAATAAATTCCAAGAAATTATTCTTCTATTGCAACAATGACTATTGTGCTGTTTTTTTTTTTTTTTTTTTCTCTTGAATCTCTT